AATTGGAATTTTTCACACACAAGCCTTGCTATATGAGCTCTCAAAGCATATAAAAATTATACGGCTTAAATGTGAAGTTGGGTGCAAAAGAATACAATTAAATCCTCTGTCGGGAAAAAACGAAATGACTTTCCGAACAACCCAATATTTATAGACACAATTAGATTTTGCTCGATATTAGTTTATCAATTGTTCAACATGAGTTGATAATAAAAATACTCAACTTGGTTATGTGGTTTGCTACAGTACCAAATTGTTCTTGCAGTCATGTTCACCAAGAATATGCACTGGATTAAAGCATACATGTAGTTTAAGTAAACTAGTGCAAATATGTCAGTACGGATTTCTATTTGCATACTAACTAACTAACTACAGCAGGGTTGAAATTCTACGTGACTCACTTCAATTTTACCCATTTTGCATTTTGTAACCGACAACTTTATAAAATATATTAATAGAATAAGTACTCAAATCTATTTAAATAATTAATGCTAGAAGGCTTTACTTGTTTAAATTCCATAATCAAATGAAGGAAACGAAAGTAACGTTTCAAAAATTGTTTTAAAACTTTACTCTTTTTAAGTAAAAATCGTCAAGTTAATACACATGGTATGATTAAATGGATAGTCTTTTATTTCTTATTGTATTAGACATGATTTTACTTTCACAGTTCATTTTCAAATTACTTTTTTATTAAATTTCTATATTAATATTGCCATCTACCAAATGTACTAAGCACTAATACCTAGATAAAATGAGTAGAAGTCGTCAGCGGCCATTTCGACAATAGTCCGAACGCCTTAGTACTACTTGTAATAACTCCTTATTATAAAGGGATTATCTACTGCTCACTTCTTATCTAAATCTGATTTCCCCAGCGGCTTTACCCGTTTTCCGCTTGCTTTCTCCAGCATTTTTCCTTGACTTCACTTCATAATTTGAAACAATTAAAAATATGTAGGTATATAAACCAAAACATTTTTTCATAAAACTTTTATTGAAAATTATAGTCACAATAATCATCATTGGAAAATGTACCTATCAATAAACATTTGTTATTCAAAACTGTAGCTAGGCATCGATCCAGTTTTGATAACGCGAATGAAGAATAATGACTAACGACGAGAAGAAAAGATAATCCATCTATCGTTTTGGTAATGCTCTTTCTTCGCTCTAAGTGGTATAGTGGAAAGTATTAGCAAACTTTACCCATTACATCACGTAGCTAATGATCTTTCCTTAAGACGAGGTATTACCCCACTTCGAGTTTTCGTCTTCTAAAGAACAATTACTTCGCTATAACGGGCAACATCTTGTTTCACAACGTACACACCAATACTCAGTAAAACAGAATTCAACAAAGCAATCTACAGTATGTCCCAAACAAAATTTGCCCACGAAAAACATTTATAGATACTCACAAGACACTAATTTTAGCGTATTGAAAGACATTTAATTTTCGAACATACGTGTCCAAAAACTTAATATGATCGTATAGACAGAATAATGTTCTAGTGTATGGAGGTTTTTGTGTATCTCCATCGCTCAATTATTAATAGTGGTCAAAGCGTATGAAAATTTCACTTTTCGGTTAAAAAAGATGCGTGATTTTTCTTAAATTTCACCCGACTTCATTAAACTGCTTAAAAGATATTTTCGAATTAAAACGCCAAAACCTCACCCTGTATACGACACTTTTTGTAGTATTTTAATAAAAAGTTAATGCAACTCTCAACTCCTACTTATTTTACGTAAATTCCTGCATGGAATTAACATGTTTTCTAATCCGATATGCATAAGCATAGGAATTCATTATCTACAATACATAATAATTTAAGCGTTGTATTGCTATGCAGAAAGGTACCGTTAAAATTTTAATTTACCAGTTTATTAATAAATCAGGCGCAGACATGCTTAATTCTAATTGAAAGCTACCGATTACACTTTCAAAGAGTTGTAACTACGAGACCAATTATTACATTACAGTATGTACAGTGGATTTCATTTATTACGACCTTGGTTATAGTGACCATTTTGCTGCAGCAACGTTAAATCTAAGTACCTTGAATTTAAAGCACAGTTTAGTACAGAATTTATGTGACTATAGCGATTAGAACATTAATTATTACAAAAGACTCTGAACATGTGATTACAACTCGCACTTGATCAGTTTTATCTCATCAAACTTTTGTTAATGAATATTCATTATTGTCCTTCAGATATCTGACTTCCTTTTAACCTAACGAGTGGGTAGTTTCTTCAAAAATTATTTATGTACTCCTGAATATCTATTTTATCCCCTTCAAAGTAATCCCCATCAGATATTATACACATATGTTAACGTTTTTCCCAATCCTCGAAGTAGTTCAAAAAATCATTTTTTATGAT